GCTGATTTTTCAAAATTCACAGATTCATTTTGTACTTACTAAAAGCTCTTTTATTGAGAAAAGTTCGTTTGCATACAAAAAACAAAACGCTACAAACAAGTTTTACTAAATTTACACTCGGTTCATTATTGCCGATGTTGCAGACTAACACAAAAATGTCACTTGCTGATCAGCTGTTCTCAGTAGACGACAAAGCTTGATGGATGGTTGTGAAATAGGGTATAGCTAGGGCATAACTTACAAGTTTTTTCGAATACGTTCTGTTTTCAAGAAGATATAATAATAGCACCTTTTGCGGATAAAAAGTTTATTCATAAAACCTGAATGTTATGTTCTAGTCCCTAGTTGTTAGCTTTTTGGGCCCTACGCGAGAGATTAAACGATTTAGTTTGATATCAAAAAAGAGTTGTCAGTTTGAAATTCATTTTCTTTTAACCCAAATACCCTACGAATCGACTAAAGACCTCTTACGACTTTTTGGAAAAAATGAATTTTCAAGAAAGTTTGAAACCCTGTAGCTTTAGCAGACCCACGTTTATGAACTTTTTTCCTCAGAATCGCAAGGAATTATTTTTCAAGTTTTGTCCAACCTGTATAACAAAGCTATTATACTCTTTATTAATACAATTCACCTTCGGAATTGTTACACTGTGACAAAGAGTCACGAAAACAATTTGTTCTACTCTCCAAAATGAATATGATACTGGAAAAGTAGATTGTAATACAAAAACTGTGGACGATAAATTTCATTGAAATTGATCCTTCATTCCAATAACGAGTGAAGTCCGATAAGTACTTAGGCTACAAAACAAAAACGAAAATTTTGACCTAGCGATGCTCCAAATTCTTCACCCCGTCCGAAAAAAAACATTTTCTGGGGGTCTGCAAATTAGGTCTCCGTCTCATGCGACTCAAATTTCTGCCTGACCAGTGACTTTTCGAAAATTGGAAGCACAAAGAATTCGCACGAGGCCAAACCTGGGGAATACGGTGGAAGGGGCAACATTTCGTAGCCTAATTCGAGCAATTTGGCCGTGGTGACGGCGGAGTTGTGAGTCGGTATGTTTTCCTGGTGGAAGAGCACCTTTTTCTTCACCAAATGGGGTCTTTTCTGCCTGCTGTCTTAGCTATCTTGCGCACCTTCAAAAATCATCGACCGACATTGCTCTTTTTCCATTTTTCTAACATTCGCCGACATGCCCGCTTCCACACGAGCTCAAAACAAAACTGCGATTCCGATTCGGCTGAAATGTTGACATTAAGTGTGATAAGTAGTAGTAGTAGTAAGTACTTATCGGACCGCCCTCGTATCTCTAGTTTTTAACGAAAAGTAGGAATTTGTTGAAGGGGTCTGAAAATGAAGCCTTTTGGGTCAAATGTTTTGTGATATATTTTTTTGGCACTGTATTTGAGGCCGTAAATGGAGGCAAGTCAATTAAATGCATTTAAAATAGGTGTAAACTAGATATACGCTAAGTACTCGTATAAAGCCATTCGCAAAGTGCTACCAAAATACAAGCTGATACAAACGAAGTCATATAGAACGGCTTCAATACGTCGCAATGCATTTTACAATTGCAAAATATATAAACGTATAAACAAAGGAATGGTTTCAAAGTTATAATTAATGATATCGACGGTACGGGTGCTGCGACAGGCTCAAAGAGGCCTGAAAAACGAGGTTGAAAGAGCTTTAAAATAAACTAATCTCAAAATACTCTTCAAGATCTTGTAGAGCAAGGTTTTAAATTTAATTTAGATACTTGAGGACTTCAAAAATTATTACTTCTTAACCGAATTAGTTTGAATTTTTTTTTAAATAAATTACTTTTTTTGCCCGGACAACTTTTTATCAGGTTATTTGGATCATTCAAAAAAAAAACTTCCATTAACGTCTCTCGAAAGCTGACCATTTTCGAGTATTCGAGGCAAATTAATGTCTGAAAAGATCTAAAAATGGATGTATCCTAAACTCGTTTAAAAAACATTATTTTTTTATATTTTGTTCACAAGACCCCGATGGGTATGTTGAGATTATTGAAAGCGATGTTTAACCTTGTCTTTTAAGCCAAAAGTGACGAACTTTTAGTTTCCGTACACTGTACATGTCATGTACCATCCAGAAATAGGTGACATTCTTCGCCAGGGGCGTGCGAAGTATGAATTCGATGCCGTGCGACCACTTGAAGATTCTTATACCCCCCAAAAATATACGATATAATACAGCTTGCGGAAAAATCATTTCTACACGATATAAGAATCAATACCACGTAAATTGCAATAATATATTGGCAAAATGTCAAGAGCTAAAGAGCCTATAAATAAATGAACTATTTAGATGCATGTTGTGAAACATTTTATTGCTTACTGGGCCAAAAGCGAGAAAAAACATTAACACTGTTGATGCAACTGTTTTGATTCTAATGCGCTCGTCGAGAGACAAATGAAAACAATGAACATTATTTTTAAGTTCTAGATCCACCATCAACTGAAAAGTTGAGGTATTCCTAGAACTAACGTTGTAATCTCTCAAAATATACAGGGTGTTAATAAAGTCTTCAACCAAACTTGAAGATTTCGATTGAAAATTCGGCTTTTTGTAAAAATCATAACCCTTTAGCCAGCTTTGATGAAATTTAAAAGGTATACACGTATCGCCAAAAATTTAGTCTAAAATGGCTCCAGTTAAATATGTACGTCTTTACTTGCTCAATTTCAACAATTTTTGATAGAAACGGTTTACAAAAAAGATGCCCAAGGCAACCATTTTTGTTTTTCAGGAAAATAATATATATTGCTGTGTCTTGAGGTAAAAATTACTTTGCTGGACCTGAATCGTGAGATGTGACCTCCGTTACGCGCTCCCTATACAGACACCCGCACCTATGATTAACCCTTAACCGCCGTAGTGCGATCATTGAGACCGCAGCACATATTTATTTCTAAAATTTCTATATATCTTCCCACACTTCAATATAATCCTCGCTCCCTTCAAGTGACCACGTCGTCAGTTTGTCGCTAGAAGTTGAAGGCGGCACTTGGTTTACAATAAAAATACGACAAAAGTTACAGAGCTGTCACAGTGACCGGTCTAAGGTGTCTATGTTAATATATCTATTAAGATTTCTGTATAGCCAGTGTGATTTCCTGCCAACTTTGTGGATTATTTTTGGCTGCACTGATCCTCAAGAATGAATTGAAATTATACTACAGGGCTTCCCAATAGGAATGATAGGATTTTGACAGCTCACTGCCGCTATCTTAGCTGTCTATTTTCTGACAGCTGAGTTATTTCACTAAGGCAGTTTGGAAATCGTCCAAACGTTCTATCAAAGTTCGAGTTTTGTCGTTACTCAAAGAGCATTTCGTGCTAAATATGGTCATCATCGTGCACCGTCTCAGCTCGCTGTTCGTTGCATAATTTAAAAACTGGAAAGTCAATGTTCTTTGCACGATAGTAGACAACCAACCAGAATGCGATCTAGCCGAAGTTACTTGATATTAGTGGTGTAAATGTACACGTTCTTCATCAGTCGTTCAAAAATAGCACAAAACTCGAAAAAGCAGACTTTCTAAAAATTCCTGCTGATCAGTTGGTGAGACTCCATCTTATTAAGCGTGCAGAAAATACAAAATCAAAGCGTGACATTCGGACTACAATTCGTAGAATAATATCACTCCCTGACCGTGCTGCAGAGGATGTTTCACAGGAAAAATTAGAAAAAAAGAAAAACATGTTATACTTGTCCATCAAGAATTAAAAGAAAAACTTTTTATTCATGTAAAATGTGCCATAAGCCTACTTGCTTGGAGTGTGCGTCAAAAATTTGTAAAAATTCTAAACACAATCTTTGACTTCTTCACCCCTTGTATTTTCTTTATTCCTTTCAAGCTATGACTCAAACTAATTTATCTCTCAGTGGACAGTTTATTCATATTTTAGAATCTATCATAAATTTCGCATAGAATGAATGTTGTGTTTTGTTTTATAGCTACCTAAGATAAGGAATTTGTGTAAACTAAAAATATACCGAAATGAATGATGTTCGATGTTTTTATTTTTTTAAATGAAGTATGGTAAAAATTATAAGTTATGTCTCATTTCAGGCCTCATTCTACCCTGCCTTAACATTTACAACACGTAAAATATTTAATTTTTTGTAATGGAGATGCTTTCTAATGTGCGGTCTTCGAGACCGCACTACGTTAATGACGTTATACCTTCTGCTCTACGGTAGTTAAGGGTTACATCAACTGTTTTGAAATCACCCCCTGAAGCTTGGTTTGGTTTTTTATTAACACCCACTAAGTGATATGAAATCGTATTTGAGATAGCCTTGTATCAAAAAGGATTCTACATAAGCCTTCCTTTGTATTTACTTGGATCAATAAAAAGCGAACCAAAAATCTGCAACAGACCGTTGGAACTGGGCAATATAGATATTCCAATTCCTTTTTCAAAAAATTTGAAAATGTAAAATTTGACCCTTGGTTCACTTCTAACACATCAAACGCAAATAAAAATCAAGAAGCGTGAATAAAACATACAGATTAGAGTATAAAAATCGAAATTCGATACAGTTTTCACATTTTTGAACAAATATTTTCTATAGAAATGATATGCTTTCTGTATTCAGTATAGTCTGCAACATGTACTAAAACTTGCTCCGCAGGCACTTACGTCAGTTTGCAACATGTGCCCTGCAATTTTGTACGGAAATAATGTTGCAGATATAAAAGTAAAAGTGAGGTTTTAAAATTTTTTGATATTGGGCCTTTTTATACATCTAGAAGGTGAGAAAGAAAAAACACGGTTTTTTTCGTGGCATGTTTATTTACCAAGTTACGAGTTTCGGAAGTCCCGGTCCAAGTGCTTTTCTATTCTAACAAGTTGCAGGGAACTTGTTACAGTGTAAACGTACCTTAAGGCATATCAAAATTCAAAATTGAAAACAGTATCGACTTCGGATCAGACCTTTGGATAATGGATAAAAACTTACCTGTGACTTTATCTCTAATGAGTTTACAACTTTCCACTTCGCCGATACTTGAAAAAAGCGACCTAATTTCCTCTTGTGTCATATTCTGAGGTAAATAATTAACAATGAGGTTCGTCTTCGACTCTTCTTGCCCTCCACCAACATTGTTTTGACTGTTGCCATTTTGTTGTCCTACGACTCCAGAATCTAAACCATTGGACATCATGGTTGGTTTTTCGTCACTCAAATTAAAATTTGAAATTTGAATATTCTCGAACAACTTTTCTATTTTGTTATAAATACTCATATACTTTATACACTTAAGTTTAATTGGTGTTTATTTGTTATGAGGTTAAAAGTTTCTTCTTCAGGTTCTTGAGTGTTTTGCTTCGTTTCTTTTTAAGCATAAAAGTCACCTTCAACTATAATCTGAAACAAAAAAAAAACAGTCATCAGAGATGGTATCACTTATAATAATTGATTCTTTAGTATAGTTTTCCTAGGCTATAATCTGTAACATCGATGGTGAGAGTGTAAACACATAACGAAAGAATTTAGGAAGGATACAAAATGTACATTACACTTGCTAGCATTAAGTATCAGATCATTATTCTGTCACCAGTCAAGAATGCTGTCTAATTTTTTCCGTAAAAGGTCTAAGCTTTTTTCCACAAGGACTAAAATTTCCCAAGACATTAGGGTGTTCCAAAAAAATGAAACGTCTTCTTTTCAAACGCATATTCTCCCTAATTTTTTCCCATTTCACTCAAAAAATAAAAATTATTGCAATCGGGAAACGATAACAAAACCTTTGGGTCAAACTTTGAATTTGAAAGTTAATAACACTGACGAGTTTCCTATGAGCAAGTCCTCCATTCGAAGAATTCGTACCGAAAAGAGAAAGGAGCGCGCAGAATCTATGAAGCTTGATTTACAAAGTGACGTACCGGATGCTGTGACTGCCACTGGGATGACAAATTGTTGCCACCTTTAAATGCACGCAAGTCTAAAGAAGAACGTCTACCGATTGTTGTAACGTATGAAAATAAACAGCAACTTATCGCTGTTTCCAAATTGGACAACTCTTCAGGCAGCGAGCAGGCTCAGGCAGTTTGGGATGCTATCATTGAGTGGAATCTTGAAGATAAACTTCAGATTCTCTGTTGTGATACTACTGCTTCAAATACGATTAACGATGCCTGCGTACGTCTCGAACAGAAATGCTTATTTTTGCTTGTCGCCATCACGTCTACGAATTGGTGTTAAAAGGCGTGTTTGAATCAAAGATCGACAAGTGATTACAAAGGCTGACATTCCAATGTTCAAAAAGTTTCGCGCGAGCTGGAAAAGTGTGGATCCGAGAAAATACAGATTTATACAAAAAGCTGTCATGCCTGAATATTTCAGAAATTGACAAGCTACTGGAATTTTATCGACATGAATTGACCAAAGAAGTTGCTCAAAACAACTATCGGGCATTAATAGAACTTTCAATAATATTCCTTGGCGGAGATGCAGAGAAAAAATTAAAGATTCGACCGCCAGACGCAATGTATCAAACTCGATGGATGGCCAGAGCAATCTATTCTTTAAAAATAGCGTTACTAAGTTGCCAGCTCAAACTTTCTACTAAGGAAAAGGCAGCTCTATAAGATATCTACCTGTTTATCGTGACAACATACCTACGTCAAAACGTGGTTGCAATGCACTTTAGCAGTAAAAGGATGAAAGAATTGACAAAACCATTTCAAAAGCAGCTTTAAAAGTTCTGCCAACATTCATGGTATTTGACAGATGAGGTCGCTGTCTTATCTCCGTTTGACGACAACGTAGATGAAGAAACTAAACATTGTTGCTAACTGAGCCAAAGAAAGTCCATCAGCCCACGGTAAACGCCACATCCCATCGAAAAAAGAACTTTCTGGCCCACTTCATGGTAAGTCTGACGAATACATTATCCTTTGTCTTTTTTTACTGCTTCGATATAATATGCTAACTGGCAATAGATGGCACCTTATACTACTTGTTTCGATCTTATTCCACAGACAGAGGTTAGTTGATATTATTTCAATCGTTGGTCTGACCTGAGGTCAAGCCTACACGATACTGATGAGTTGCCGAAAAGCACAAAACGTCTACCGATGGTTGAATTTCTGTGGTCGGAAGGACAAAACCAGTATGTTTAGATCACAGTTGTTCTTCGTTTTTTTATTTCAGAGAAAAATATCGATGACTGTTTCAATCAAAAGTAAGTCGACTCAAAATTCTCGCCCAGTGGCCAACTTCATGGCCACATAATGATTATTTTCAACACGCTAAGAATAAGGTGCAAACACTGAGAGCAGTTAACAATTACTGCTGATGAGGAACAAAAACAATGTTCATGTATTCAGTTGCGTACAAGAACACAGGCAGATATATCCTGACTGTAAACAGAAAACTGAAAAGAAAATTCAGTGAATAATGTTCTTTTAAGGAATATAAGATACAGATAAAGCTGTGTTTTATTTGTCGAATAAGAATTAGGTTTTGAAATCCATACATGGTTTCCCTATTAACTTTCAAAATAAAATTTTGACCGAAAGTTATCGTTCCCTGATGGCAATAATATTCATTCTTTTGAGTGGAAAAAAATAGAGGGTATGCGTATCTCAATCCGAACAAAAATTTGTTTGGCCTCATAGGCTCTACTTTCCATACATGCCGAATTTAAACGCCCTATTCAGCATAAAATGTCGATGTAGCAAAACAGTCAATTTTTGTTTTCATTATTGATTATTTCGTAGCATGCTATGCATGGTGACCTCGAGAACACTCGACTATCATGTACAAAATCGCATGTTGACTAACGTGTATGTTATCTATTGTTTTGATTGTAGTCATATAAAATCAATGTTGGATAGCAGGTAAACTTTCGCTATGATATGTTCAAATGGGAATACACACTGCGGAATTGAGGTGAACGATCTTGTGTTGCTAATCTGAGACAGCGGCTGTATCATACGAGAGGTCGTTTTAACATTCCCGGATTACGCCAAGTAAATAAAGTTTTCAAAGAAATGGGAGGCACGATTTTTACAGGAGCAAAAATAAACTTTTACTCCTAACTATCCTATATTATTGTCTATGAATCAAGGCGACTCCAGATATCCCGAAATGATCAGGAACTTGGAAACCGTTCAAAAACAAACACGGAATTAGAACTTTTCGATATTAATACTTCCTACGCCATTGGGCGAGGAAGCATTGTAATCGCGAAAAATTTCAAAGATCAGAAATGTTTTTCGGGCTATCTGTCTGTCCGCCAATCCTTGACCCTGCCATAACATGGGAAGTGCCGGTCGGAGGATGTAAAGTTAAATAGTGTGACAAGTAGGTAGAGATGCGCAGTTTCTAGTGTGAAAGTTTTCACATGACAACATTTTCTTTGCCTTTTTTGAGCTTAAAAAGAAAACAGACGTGGATGATATAAAGTTGTCTTATTTCAAAATGTAACTTGTAGTTATATTAGTGAATTGTATAAACTCCCGAATTGCGAAAACATTCGGTAAAAAATAAAATGCGGATTAGTTATACTTATATATACGAAAATAACCATACGGCGTTTAAAAATAGGATGGATTCAGAACCAAGTTGCGTGCGACGGACGGTATAGCAGGAAGTTATTTTATTTACGCAGACTGTTATGGGCTAGGATATACCGCCATATATCTCTCATCTGCTGGTAAGTATAATATGATGAGGCGAAGCCTAACAACTAGGCCACCGATCCTGGACAACAACACTATAACTAACAACACAACTAGCGTTAAACGTTGCTGTCGAATCTCCCAGACTTTCCAACAATGGTTACATTATGTGTGAAAATTCGTACTAAAGATATTTTATTATTCAACATAGCTCAACACAATTTTTACATCGATCCTGTAGAGCTTCAAAACCTAAACCTAAATGTTTCCTGTTGATCCGCAAACCAGCTTTGACAGCTTCTATCACCTTGTCGTTCGAAGAAAATTTGCAACCGTTTAACTTTTTTTTAGCTTCGGAAACACTTAATAGTCAGAAGGTGCTAAGTCAGGTAAATAAGGAGGGTGGTCGATCAGTTCGAAACCAAATCGCGAAGCTTTCTCATCGAAATGTGCGATTTGTGTGCTTGCATCCCCTTTGGAATCATTCCGCGTCTGTTTTCCGCAATTTTTTTTTCGAGCAATTCTGGCAATCATGCTCTGCATATTATTATCCCGTTATGGTGTTTCTCTTGTCTAGGTAATTAGTGAAAAAGCACCAAGACGGTCCCGAAGCAAGCACAGCAGATTTTTGCACAAGGAATTTCTTTGGCCTTTGCGACTCAAAGGTTGCAGTTTGTTTTTACCCAAGTTTCTTCCATAGTCACTAGACTGTTGAAAAATTTCCGGTGTTTTTCAAATCGGGGAAAAATTGAACGCGATGTATCCACTCGTGCACGCTTCTGATCCGCGTTCTGGCATTTGGGAATCCATTTTGCAGACATTTTGTGATGTCAGCTATTCGTTTTATCCCAATGCTGATAATAACCATAATATTGCCCTCAGGCAGCAACGGTGGCCGCAGTAGCAGAATCTTCGGTCTCCTGATCAGTCGCCGTGCGCTGCGCGGGTTCGAATCCCGTCCCAAGAGAAAATTTCTACTGGCTATGGATGTTATGATTGTCCGTAGGTGGTAGTCTGTCTCTGACTGTCGAACGCTGAGGTACCACCCGGCGGATCTCGTAGGCGGAGCCAGAATGTGTGCATGTTGCATGCACACGTGTTCCCTCGCCAGAATCCGTGTGGCGTTCCCCCTTTCCCCTATATCCCCCTATAGCCCCACGTTAACCCCATTGGTGTTTAGGCCTTACGCCTTCGTGGTAGTTGGAGTATAAACAAAAAAGTGATAACATCCAGGTATCTCGTCCAAGAAAAAGTCGCTGCTAGTTTTCTCTTCTCCAGCTCACCGACAGAGATCTCGTGAGTCTGAATTCCTGCATGTAGAGTGCTGGCATCAGCAAAGCTGTGGATTGGATTGACCCTGCAGGAAAGGAGGTCGTTGATGTATAAGAGGAACAATGTAGGAGCTAAGATCGATCCCTGGGGAACACCCGTGTTGACGTTGTGGGATTAAGAGGAGAACCCGTCAATTACAACGGATATCTTGCGGCCAGAGAGCAATGCTTCCCGGAGAGGCCATAGGATGGAAGTTTGCATATCCTCTCTTAGAAGCTGCTAACTCCTTCAAAGCCTCTTATCGAGCAGACATAGATGCTCCATCCTGTACACTGTTGTATCCCTGAATCACCTATCGTAAAGAATTCGAATATCAGGATTATTCGTGACTCGTGACTCAAAAGCTAGCATTAAAAATATGAATATCTGAATTTCTCAGAACATTCGTTACCAATGACGGCCAGCATA